AATATTGTAACACGAAAATTATTGTTGTATTTCTGAGCATAACTTTCAAATTTAAAAAATCTATGAAAAGAAAATTTCAGACAAATTTTTTTTTTGGGATTAATAGACTCCCTTTTTAAAGCTAAATTGAATGGTGTGGGTTTTTTAAAATCCAATGTGTGGATCACATAATATTTCAAAAATTTTAACCTTTGAGTATAGATGATCCGCACTGTACTTATTAGCTCCTATGGTTATTTAGTCTACATTATAATAATAAACGAATATTTTACAGTCGTTTTATAATAAATGTTCCTGAAGAGGAATTGTCTTCCACGTATTGCTTTCAAATTGAACAAGCTCATTGGTTCTACGAAGATTTTGTTCGCGAACAAAATCCAAATTTACCTAGCTTCGCATTAAAAAATCTTTTCTGCAATAATACATATCAGCACGGATTATTTAGAAGAACTGGAAATATTGTAGACAATCTTAATATCATTAATAATACAATGTTAAAAGGAAACAACAAGATTGTTTATCATATGAACAATTAAATATTACAAATTTTCATACTTTGAGTATGAGTGTAATAATCTAATCAAAATCTGAATTTGTATTAGTTATATTCACTTTGTCTGATTTTGTTGCAGTATGTTCCATATACACTGAAAGAAAAACAATAGAACCTTAAGATTGATTGCTTGATTGTTGAGATATCGCATAAAAATTTTTTTAAAGACTATGACATTTGTGTAAGTATGATCCAAATAATTATTATTGGTGTGAAAATTTTTCAGGCAAAGTGGGATGATTTTTTTTGGCGATCAGGGAAAATCACCCCATTATTATTATTGATTTTTTTATATAAATTCGAAATATTTTCTACAATCTCAGATATCAATTAAATCTAAAAATTATAATAAATATAAAAAAACTTTAAATCACAAAAATGTCAACAACATCTACTCAAGCTACTCAAGCTACTCAAACGACACAATCAGGACAACAGCCACCTCACGCAGACGATACAGAGTTAACCACCGCTCAAGATTCAGAATCCCAAACACCTATTACTCGAACTGTGGTCATAGCTTTAGATCACTCAAGTGATAGTCAGCAAGCATTCGACTGGTCTTTGAAAAACTTTTTGAGGAAAGAAACTGATTTGGTATTTATTTAATTTATATGTGATTAGAATTAGAAAGTTTAATATTGGGATTGCAATTAATATTTCCATTGATTAATCAATTGAAATAATTAGGCTGTATTAGTTAATGTTCGGCCAGTTCCTACAGTTCCTATACCTTATGCTGGTAAGAAGATATGAATTTTTGATGGAAATATTTTGAATTGATTGATTAATTTCTTTTCCTTGATATATTTAGCAATGGGTGCGAGTTATATGGATTTCGGTGAAATTGTAGCTAGTCTAGAAGAACAGGTAACTAATTAGGATTTGAGAGAGAAATCAATATAACAAAAATAAAATTTAATTCTTAAATTCTTTATTTTAATTTTTAAAATACATTTAGTATCGTATTAGTAGTCATACATTATTACAAGAATATGCTGCTAAATTAAAGAGTCACAATGTAGGTATTCACAATTAATAATTAGCATTGATTGGTAAAATAATAATGACAATGGTGATTGATAATAATCACCTTTTAATTATTTGTTTAGTTTGCATGTAAAGCTATAGCAATGAGAGGAGACGCAAGAGATGAGATTGTACGTAAGGTTGGTGAATTGAACGCTGAGGCTTTAATATTGGGTAATCGTGGATTAGGTGCATTGAAAAGGTTAGATATTTTTCTTTTTTATCTGTGAATGAAATAATTGAAACATCAAACAATTTAAATCTAATTATTTCCAAAATATTAGAACTCTTTTAGGATCAGTTAGTGACTATTGTACTCATAATTGTCACTGTACTGTTATTATTGTCAAGGAAAAGGTGAATCAACAACATGATAAAAAGCAATAACTTGTATATATATATTAATTATTTTTTAAAAAATTTTTTCTTCAATATGTATAAATTAAATCCAAACAAATAAAATGAATTCATTCCAAATTTTATATTATGTGAAATGAATATCTTGTGTAGTATTTAAAATTGGACTTAAATGAAGTTAGTGTTCAATATTATCATAATAAAATAATAATAAAATAATAATTGGTCAAGTGGCTTAAAGTTTTGTTGTTACTTTAATTCATTTACAAAATTAACGATTGATGGTGAAATAAAATAAATTTAAGTGGAATAAATGACTTTATTGTTGCACGTACGGTGCAGATCATCTATAATCATCAATTGCTTATAGTCTTGATTTCAATGACATTTATAAAAACAAAGAGACCAAGACATTTTATAAAACAACAAAATAAAATAAAATACAATACAATAAAAAATAGTACCTCTGTCATTAACACGTCTTTCAGACCCAAACCATACCAGTCAACATTTACGTTTCCTCGTTTTGTAAAAAATAAAATTTTTATTCGCATCCAAAAAAAAAAAAAAATCAATCACATCAAAAAAAAATAGGGGTTCTTGTACAACCCATACATGTAATAATAATAAAGTTTCTAAATTTTTTTATGTACAATCACAACTTTCCTTTTTTTTCTTTTAAAACTTTTTTAAAAACAATATAAAAATAAGTGTTTATTATAAGAATGGTGCTGTTCAGTTTTTAACTATTAGAACTGTTACTATTTTTTTACAAATTAGAAAGAAAGGTGATCGATCTATGGCTCCTAAGTAAGTATTGTTAAGAGAATAATTTAAAAAATGGTAATTGCATTTATAGATGTTGGTTACTAAAATGGGGCATACTGCAACAAAACCAGACAAAGTGAACATTGGTATTACCAGAATTTCAGGGATCAAAAAATATTTTTAACAGTACAATTGTATTACTACTACAATGTGATAGTGATATTTTCTCCCACTTCTTATATAGAATTACCTCTATATAAAAATAGTTAATATGAAACTCATTTATATCAGGTATACTATGGAACCCAAAAATTACAGCACCATTAGAAGTATTTTGAAAAAGGAGCAAGGTGAAAAAATTGCTCCTTACATTTCAAAAATCAATCATATTAATATAGTCATTGATGTTCTTCAGTAATTCTTAACAAACCCATATCTGAATCTAATAATAAATAAATATTATTATTTCCAAGATAAAAATATAAATTTTTGTCAATAATTACTAAAAGCCTTTACCCAAATCTTCATGTAACTTCAGCAAAAAACTTTATCAAAATCAGATGTTACCTCAATTATAAACTACCAACTTGGTAAGCCTAATATGAAGAGTGTTGGGTAAACCCATTAGTAAATTTTGAAAACTTTAGGGTAACCTATCTATGTAGTTTCTGGGGTCATATTCATAACAATAACAGTGGGATAAATTTATTAATTATTAATACATGATGCATGTGATAAAATTTTATTTTAATAATTTATTAAATAGTATGATAGAAGTCAAGCTAGAGGCTTTAAAGGTTGTTTAAAATTGCAATTGAAATTGAAAGTAACAATATAGAAATAGATAGAATATGAATTATTAATATTGAGAAAGAAACTGTATTGACTTGATGAAATTGGTTTAAAATAAAAATTTTTTTAACCAGTCATGCACCGAACATTAATTATGTGGAGGAGATCTTTGTGTACGTGAGATTGATGATAATAAATATTTTTGTTTCCTTTTGTCTTCAAACTGTCCAAGTTTTGAATCAAATCATATGTTTTGCTTATTGAGTACTATTTAATTAATTGAATACACTTTTCTAAGTCATTCATTTTTATAATTTATTCTTATAAAATAATCAGATATCTTACCATTAATTTATTCAAATTTTCATAAAATATCTCTTTGCCCAAACTATTTTTAACTGGAATGTCAATTAGGGTTTGTATTCATGAATATCATAAGGGGTCATACAGGGTCACACACTATTAAAATCAAGTGATCAACTCATGTTTTTAAGGGATTTTTTGCTGTTTTAATAGTGTGTAACCCCCTTAATGGTATTCATGGTATCCGTGAATACAAACCCTAATGTCAATACTGGTAACCAGTCTAACTCTATATATACTGTACCCAGGTTGGTCAAGCATAAAGATTTTCATTACGGAAACCTTGAAGAAAAATTTAGAAATTATTATATTTCACCATTAAATACTAACTAATATATAAAACATAAAAACATTTCTTACCAGCTACTAAAGCACCACATATATTTACACCATTGTTGTTATAATCAATGTTTCTATCATTCCGTATTTATTATAGAAATAACTAGATATCAAATCCTTGCAGTCTTTCATCATCTTTATCATTTTATTTAAGTCAGATAATGTTTTTGGTTGTTTTTCCTCCCATGGTGAGCTGCACACTTCTCCTACTAATAACTCAAAATTGACTTTCCCTTGATTCTTATATGTCTCTTTAGAAATAAACTTAAGATCTGGCTTTTGTCCTTTTCTTGCCTTTTCTTCATTTTTAAAAGAAAATAGTCATTTTTACTCAAAATAATAAGATTTATTTTTTTTAAAAAAAAAAAATACCTTTTTTGTAATCTTATTTTCTTTGTCAATTTCATCACTAGAACTGTTTTCATTTTTTCTTTTTTTTGAACTTATTGATCCCTTTTCAAAACTGGATAAATTTTTTTTTTAAGTAAAAACAAATTTATAACAATAAAATGATCAGGAGCTGAAAAATTCACTCACACTAAGAGTCTTAATTTCTGAATATCTCTTGCTGCAATATTAAAAGGAATTGTCACAGAATGTGACATCCATGTACCTTCATTAATATCATATTCTTCTTTGTATTCACCATTCCTTCTCAAGTATGAACTAAATAAAAAATAATTATATTGTATTAAAAAGAAATAATATGCTTAAATAAAAAAATATACATACAAATGATTCTTAATTTCATTCAAGTTAGATTCATTTATAACTGAAGTAAAATCGCTTGAATTAAATATACAATCACTGATATCAGATAATTTGTTCCATTCATCATCATTAAAAAAGGGTTTTAACCAGGGTTGGCAAATGTGTGGTCCATTGATGGTCTATTGGTGGTCCATTGGGTCCATTAGTGTAACAGTTTAACCATATTTAGTATTTTATTAATGGCAATGGACCATCTGTTCTCAATGGACCAGTCAATTTGCCAACCCTGGTTTTAACCATGAATCTGGATCAGATACGTCTAAAATATTTGAGCATAATGGATTATCCTGATCTAGTTCTTCAAATGAATCTTTTAAGATTTCCTCTTTCAGACAATTTTGGATTGATGGTGTCATTATTGTTGTTGATGAATTTCTAAAATTCCATGGCCATTGATTTATATTTTCATCCTAAAAAAATTTATAAGATTTTTTTTTAATAAAAAAAGACAATATATTATATAAATTATACATACTTCAAGATTTAATACTCTAAGTTTTTCTTTGTTTTAACAGTTTCATGAATAAGTTTTGTACTCTAAATTATTAATAATATATTACAATATTAAAAAAGAACAATATTAATTTATATCCTAATCTTTTGCCAAAAATTTTTCTTAAAAGATATTATATCTTAAATGAAGTTGGTGTCTACCACCACCTTTAATCTTAGTCAATTTTTACATTCATCATTATTGTGCAATAAAAAAAAAACAAAAATATAAATTGAAAAAATTAAATTATACCTTTGCCTCATTTGATTTGGAAATATAAAGTTTATATTAATTTTTTCTTGCTTTAGAAATTGCTGTAACCACCTGATGTAAATTTCTTTTAATAAAGTCACTGTAAATTTTATACTGCATTTGTTGGCCATAAAGTAATACAAGCCTTTTAAATTCCAAGTGTTTTTATCAAAGCTGTCGAAATATTCTTTACAACTTCTAAAAAAACATCTTTCTTTATCATCAAGTTCTTTTCCATTATTTTTTAGTGGATATATATAGTCTTCCAAATTTTCCACACTATATATAATAAAAAAAAAGTTCATAATTAACTAGAGTGATGGTGAGTGGCGGGCAATAACCACCACCCATATGATAAACACTTACTCATTTTTCTTGGCCAAAGTTTTTGATTCTCTTCTTTTATTGTCAATATTTTTATTATTATGAGGCATGCTTTTAATAAAGAAAAAAAAAGTTTGTTGTTTGATCGACATGTACACATTAATTATTTATCCTATTGGTTTTTTTTTGGTAGGACAGACACAATTGTTTTTTTTTTTTTTTGGGAAAACAATTTATTTTTTGACAGAGTCCAAGGTGACAAAACATGTTTGTTGTTGTTTGTTTGGTTTGGGTCTCCTAAAGAATACATGTTAATAACTGACCAGAGGTGCTTTTTTTTATTTGTATTGTCTTTTTTGGTTATTATAAATATTTTAATTGGAAATCAAAACACAGAGCAGATCTTGCTGGGTAATTATAGGATTTTCATTGATGGTATTTTGCTTTGTGTAATCATAATAAAATTATTATTATTAATATATAATTACAAGAAGATGCCATGTTAAAAAGAAACAATTCAAATATGCAATGTTTGATTATTGGCGTCGAAGCATGCATGCTGCCTTGAACACTTACAGTCATTCTCTCATCTTCCTTGTGTACACAAGGCTAAACTGACCTCATCCCCTGATGATACAAGGATGCAGCTGAATTCCAGGGGGGAGCATGGCCCTGGAGTTCACCAAGACTACACCAATCGTCAAGGATGTTTTTCACTAATCTTCCAAGACCAGAGAAGATGGCTGGTGTCTTATTTTTCATTCTACAAAAAGTGATCGTCAGAATGAAAGGTTTAATTTCCCATAAAAGGTGAAATATACTTTCCTCTTTGCGCTTGTGATTTTAATAGAACTGCTTTATGGGGCAGAGATTCTGTTAATTGCATTTTATTATTATACCATTATGTTAATCTCTTTTTCTAACAGGTTTTCAGATTTAGCAAATGTAACAATATAAATAAACCGGGTTTGTGAGGTATCATCTTTAATTTTATCAAATTTTTTTTACAAAGGTAATACATTGTTTATTATCAGAGCCGTGTACTTTATGCATCGACTTATGAAAAGCGAAATTCTACTTATTATAAATCTTTGTATTTAGGAAAAGAAAAATGGATGAAGACAACAATAACAATAACAATAATTATGTTAATATTGATCTTAATTGTCTCGTCTTACGTGAACATGCATTTATGAACGGACCATTTTATTTTTTCAGAATTCACGTTTCTAATAGAGATGATGTTAACGCAATAATAACTCAAGTTCAGGCTAATTTACCAAATGGATTAACTAATGTTCCTTATCGGCTTCGTAGATTGAATCCTACCACCGGGGACTACCTCATAAATATGAATCAAGATAGTAGGATCTATGACCATTTCAGCGCGAATCCTGATCAAAATGTTATTCACGTACTTGTAGAGCCGTTACCAGAAAATAATTAGTTTTTTTTTTTATATTCATATCATGTAAATGCAATATGATTTTTTATTTTATTTTTATGTTATTATTTTGGTAACATTTTTTATATATCAATAATAAAGCAGGTCATATTGACTGATTTTAACTATGAATTACAATTACTTTTAGCAAAACCTTTAGTAAAACTAAAAATGCAACGGGTTTAATGACACATGAAACTATAAAAGTGAATTTATATATGTCGAGAAAAAATTGAAGTCATTTATTTATATAGATATGTTAATATGTCTCGAAAACCTAAGAATAACAGATGAAAAACTCAAGGCAAGTTTACTGATAATCCTACGCAGTATATGCAATTTAAAAATCTGGTTGAGTATATACACATCATAGAAGGTGAAAATATAGTTATAATCAATAGAAGTACTCAGGATGTGAAAGCGATATTTGATTATGCAGAGGTATGTAGATATCTAGAGGTAAATAACATCGATTCGGGTATTTTCAATATGTATAGGAAATAGTTGGCTTATTTTTTTCTTTTCAAATTTATGTGTAATAGACTACCAGAATCGGTTTTATTGATACAGAAATTAATTACAAGATATATGAATTATTCATCCACGATAATTCTTGATCGAGATTTTTTTTTTTTTTTGTGGTTTATGTGTGGATGTTGATCTTGGGGGGAATTGATTGTTGATAATGATGTTTGTGATGATAATGTATCTGATGAAGTCAACATCATTTCTGCCGAATCGTCGGTAGTATGTAATATATTACGCAGAGTGCATACAATTGCGGTTCTAAAAGTTAACAATGCGTGGATGAAAGAATAGACACCATTGTGTTCAACAGATGGGAGATATAATGGTATTTTTACTCGATTGAGTAAACAGCTTTTATATAAGCTCTCTTCTCTATGGACGCTATGAATTTCTAACAAGTCGCCAGCCACATTAATGGTGAATATAGTCAACATACTTTTTATTGTCGTTCCTCTAAAGAATCTTTCATTTTTGGATAGCCACGTTTCATCGATTGCATCTTTTGCAAGCCTGTTTAGTTTATTATGATCTTGTAATTGTTTATCTGAAGAAGAATCTGGTTTACCTGTTTCGAGATAACCTATTTCAATGCTCTTATTTTTTATTTCCGCAACAATCATAAAATCTGGCCAACGTGCACTCTTATAAGATCCCTTCCGTTCTGCACTGGCTGAACTCACTTGCTCCCCCCTTGTATCCAAAATTGAATATAATCAAAAGAGAGCCATTTATGAATATCTTGTATTATTGGATGATAAAGGATGTGGAAGAATTGATGCTAGTTTGCAGGTAGCTAAAAAAGTTTTTATAGGTGCTGGTCCATGGAAAGCACGAAAGATTAGATATGCTGCAAATTATTGGTTGCTTAACAATAAACTTCCAATGTCTAGACATGGTAAACATCAAAAAACTGTTAGATTAATTGATGATGAAGATGTTGCAGAAAAATG